CCCCGCCCCCCTCCCACTTTCATTCCCCCAGCTACACACCTGGTAATGGTGGTTCTCCAGGTCCGGTGGCAGGGGCAGGGGCAGGGGTGGGGGCTGCGGGAAAGAGCGTGGGGGAGCCAAGTCTTAGGCCCTCTCGCCTTTGACCTTTGCCCTCACCAGGGACCTGGATTCTAATTCCCCAGGTCCACTCCCTGACTGGGAGGCCCCTGCAGGAGGGGATTAGCCTCTTGGTTCCTCTCTGACCCTCTCCAAAGGCGCCCTGGTGGCCCAGGAAGTTAAACACGGGGGTGGGGGTGTGTGGAGGGGGGCAGGTGGGGAGAGGGGGAGGGGGGCAGGAGGAGCTGCTCACTGTCAGGTCAGCATTTGAGATCACCATCTGCTCCTTGGGAGAAAGGGGAGACCCTCTGGTCTCATACAGTCCCAGAAACCCACAGAGGAGCCGTTTTACTCAGTGCCGCGGGGGCACCATGAGTGGCATCCGCTCCCTGGTACTGAGTTTGGTTTTATGGCTCCGCTCCCTGCAAAAGCAGCCCCAGTGCTACAGTGGGTTGTGCGCTGGGGTCTCTAACGGCAAGGTCGGCAGTTTGAAACCATCAGCTGCTCCCGGGAGAAAGACGAGGCTTTTTACTCTCTGAGACCCACGGCAGGGGAGTTGTGGGATTGGGGGGGAGGGCAGGGGCAGTTCAACCCTGTCCTGTAGGATCATTATGAGTCCAAATGGACCCCATGGCTGAGAGGGAGTACCCTGAGATCTGCTCAGAGTGCAAAGCACAGCTGCACTGACAAGAAGGATGGAACCACCCACCCACCCCTCCAGACACAAGCACTTCCTGAAGGTCGATGCTTCCTCCCACTCTTGTTTCTAAAGAGTTTCGGGGAGCAAGGTGGCCCAGGGCAGAGTGGCCAACTCCCCAGGGGAGGTGGGATTTAGGGAAGGGGCGGGGACTCACCATGGCTGAGTTCCTGAGCCCCTGGTCACTGAGCGGGGACACCAGTAGGACTGGGGATGGCATCACCTCATAGATGTTGTCGTCCTCTGCAGTGGGGACAAGGGGACACAGTGTCATGGCATTCTTTCAATGAACACTCCCACAAAGCTCTCTTCTTGCCTGGCCCCGTGCTGGGAAACATGGGTTGTGGGATACAAACAGGCTTTCCTACAGCTTTGTCTCCCCCAAAGATATGCCAAACATTAGAGGCTGTTTGCCAGCACATGGTGGGAGATCAGATATTCTCCCTCAAGGTATTCAGCCATCAGACTAAGGTCTGGGCCACTGTAGGTGGGGCTCACTCCCTACTGATAAGGATAATGATCGTTTCCATGGAGAGCCAGAGAACAGGTCAAACCTGCTCAGTGACATCCAGAGTTAGGCTGCCATCCTGAATCTAGGATCCGCCCATCTTGTCACATGTGTACCCCCAATCCCTCCCCTCCCTATTGTGTGTATATTCCTAGATCCTCCCCCTCCCATTACTGTATTGCCTGTAGTACAACCCCTTCCTGTAATGGATGCCTTTACCTGTAACCAGGGGGCTTGCATGCCCCCAATATATATATAAGCCTCGGTTAGTAATAAATCGCTCTCTCTCCCCCTCAGTCCTCTCTCCCCTGGTCTCTCTCTCTACCTGTCCTCCTTCCCCACTCTCTCTTGCTCTTGAAATTCCCACCTTCCGCATCCTCACGTGGACCACCCAGCGGGGCTGAGGTGAGCATGCTACCATGAAATGTGTCTGACTCCTTTATTTCACTCTCTCTCCTATCGTATTCTCTATGACTTTACTGGAATCTTTACTTATTATCGCTGTACCGTTGCGCCTGCCGGGCCTGGGATGAATTGTTAGGGGCTGGCTCCCCTGACAATGGGTGACGGAGACAGCCCTCCCGGGGCTCACAGTCCAGGGGGAGAAGGCAGCCCGACACCGAGGACCCAAAGTGGCAGGGGAGGTCAGAAGGGACTGCTGGCCTAGACGGAGGAGGGCAGGGAGGGCTTCCTGGAGGATGGGGTAAAAAAGTAAGCATGATGGAAAGGTAGGAGAAGAAACAGTGCCTGCAGAGGCCAGGGTGGTGGGGATAGGGCGAGCCTGAGCCTGAAGCTGAGCCTGAGCCTGAGCCTGAGCCTGAGCCTGAGCCTGAGCCTGATCCTGAGCCTGAGCCTGAGCCTGAGCCTGAGCCTGAGCCTGCCGTGTTTGCCATATTTGATCTGTCTGCTGATCCAGAGCCTGATCCTGACCCCAAGGGATGTTACAAGTGGGACAGGAAGCCAGGTGAGGCAGTGGGTAACACACCAGTGTGTGGTATGGAGCCTGAATTTGGGCTTGAGGCCA